CCCCCTCTCTGCTGAGCAGCGGCCTGCAGCGGCCTGCGGGCTCCTCGAGTTGCCCAATCGAGCGGTGCAGCGCCGCGCGCCCATCTCTTCCCCCACCCCGCCCGTCTCCCATTCTCCTCCCCGGGAGCATCGAGCGGCGATCATCACGTGTTGGAGCCGTCTGGGGGTCTGAGGTGGCCCAGCATTGGTTCTAGCCAACAGGGGGGGGCAAGGTTCGTGGTGCTGGGTTCGAGTTTTTTTTTGTTGTTGGTCCGTTTTCGGGCCCCAGGACCGTCATCGGAGTGCTTGCGCGGCGCTGTCTGCCGCCCCGTCGCCTTTTTCACCCCTGGCGGCGGTGGTGGCGGCCTTCGCCACTCGCCCTGCCTGCGTCTGCCACGCGCTCGCGTGGCCGCCCGCGCCGCCGCCCCCGCCGCCACCGCCCGCGGGACCTGGCGCCGTGGGGTTCGCGGCGGCGGTCGCGACCGAACTGGTGCCCCTGCTGGTGAACAGGTCGCCCGCGCCGGCGGTCTGTCCCTCGGCGGAGGCGGTGGCCGCGGCGCTGCTGGAGAAACTGCCCTCGGCAGCTGGGGCCGCGGGCCCTTCGGAGGCGGCGCCGCCGCCCGTGGCTGGCTGGCCCAGCTTGGAGCCACAGCAGGGCTCAGGCATTTTCCTGGCCTGGAATGTGGCGGCCTTGGAACTCATCGTGCTGGTCGGCTGGTGCGCCGTTGCCCGCTTTCCACGTCATGCTGGTGTCGCGCCGCCGCCGTCGCGGGACGGGCGTGATCTGGCCGAACGGGTCCGCCGCCGAGGTGGAGTCGTGGTGCGCTGAGCTCCGACTGGGCTTGAGGTCGGGGCTTTTGGCACCCGCGGGATACAGTGTGGCACGAAAAAACTGCTGCTGTACCCCGCGGGGGGGACGTACTGGTGGGTGTTGACACCTGACGCCGCCACGTACGTGGAGGACGTTGCTGGCGTGGTGGGCGACGGTTGCAGCAGGGCCTTCGCTTGCAGTCCTGCTGGTGGCGCCCTCTGTGGCGCGCGGTTGCTTCTACGGTTCGCGGGGCCTGTGCCGCTCGCCCGCCTTCGCCATTTCGTGCAGCGCATTCGGACAGCGCAGGGCGAACACGGCGCGGGCGTGAGCGAACCCGAGCAGTTCTACACCTAGGAGGGGGAGCTTCAGCTCTTCGCGGATCTGCGGCGCCGCGGCGCGGCGGCGCCGCCCGAAGGAGGGGCCCTGGCGGACGCCGAGGTGGCTGCCGCAGCAAAGGCGCTCCCCGACCTGGAGCCGCCTGAGGGCCGCGCCTGGTTCGTCGCCTCCCCTGGGCCGATGCCGTTCGGTAGCGTGGTGGCCTTCTCGGGGGGAAGCGTCCGCCTCGATGCTGGGCGCGCGACCTTCCGCGAGGGCGACAGCTGGCAGATCGCGGAGGCGGTGCGCAGCGAGAGGGTGGACGCCTACCGAGCCGAACGCCCCGGGGAGCTGGTCAGTATGCTGGGGGGCGTCCTGGGCGGGCGCCGCCACGCGTTGGCGGCAGCTGGCGAGGAGGCAGCCGCGACTCGTGTTGCTGGCGGGGCTCCCGACCTGGAGGCGGCTGGCGAGAGGGACCTGCGCGAGCGGTTTGGCGCGCCGCCGCCCGAGGCTCGACCAGGGGCTGGGGCGGGCGACGACGCGAGAACTTTGCGGGTGCAGCGCGACGAGCACGCTGAACGGCACATGCCGTGGATGGGGCGTCGTGCGCGAGGTGCGCCGCTGCACGTTCAAGGACTGGCCGCTCGAAGGTGGCATCTCGACGGTGGAGCGCATGATTAAGAAGTGGGAGCAGAGCGGCGGCTCTTTTCTGCTGTGGCTGGACCTCTGGCCCCGTGACAGGCTGGTGAACAGCGTAGATCGGACGTGCGTCGAGATGAAGTGCCCGCTGATGGCAATCTCCCACGCGGGGAGCTACGACCAGCCCCACTTGGCCAGCATGGCCAGCGTGGAGGTTCTTTGTCGCAGAGTGTCGCAGATCGTGGATGCCTACTCGGACGATCCCACCAACCCCCCGAAGTGGGGCGGTCTGCGGCGCTACATGGGCGTGGCGGGCCCGATGGATGTGATCGACCCAGCTCTGCGCGCCGCGGTGTTCCGGAGCCTCAAGGGGGATGTGGGGCTGGATATGGAAGAGCCGCGCAGCTGGCGTGCCCGTTCCGAGCCCCCTCGCCCTGGAGGCAGGCGAGGGGCTCCCTGGCGGCGGCGCGGGGGCCGGCGACGGCCGCGGCCGCGGGCGCGGCGGCGGCCGAGGCAGCGGGGCTGGCGGCGCGGGGCGCGGCGCTTTTGGAAGTGGCGGTGGACGCGGGGCGGCCGGGCGCGGCGGGAAGCTCGCCGCGCCCGAGGCGGCGTGAGTGCCCCCGCCGGCGGGGGTGGGCGAACCGTCGGTAGTGCACAGCCCATGCGTGAAGTCGGGGTGGACCTGCTCTCGCTCTTTCCTCTGCCGAGGCTTGGCGACAATGGTGAGGCGCGGCCGCCGCTCCAGGGCCGCGGGGCATCGCCGCTTGCCTGGCGAGCGACTTCAATGATGCTGTTGATGCTCTGAATAGGTTGGTGAACCGATCATCCGCGGGCTCCGGGCCCAATTGTGACCAGCAGGGGGTGTGCGCGCGGATCCTGGATTGCGTTGCCGAGAGCATGCCGTCCGTGGAGACCGTGATCCCCTCCCCGCGGGCGGCCTCCTTGGAGCTGCTGCGCGGCCGCAGTGTCTACGACGAGTCGGCCGGGCGGAACGCCGGGCGTCTTCGCAATGCGGGGCAGATTTCTTTGCCCGAGACCGCGGTGGGAGGGCCCCGGCTGCGCGGGGTCGCACTTGTCCATGCGCGCCAGTTTCTCGAAGGCGGATGTCCTCGGATGCTTCTAGATAAGGGGAATTTGCGCCGTCGTCTTGATGAGTGTGGCATCGCATCCCACTGGGGCCCTTCGCTGGTGCGTAACCGCAGGCTCTATGTTCGCCTGTTGAAGCTGCGCTGCTCCAAGGGCATGTTGGTCTACGCAGGTAAGTCGGAGTGCCGCGGCCCGAGGCAGGGGGGCTTTCACTTCGCCTCGCCCCCGGGCGTCTCGTTGGTGGTTGCCGAGGGCCTGGCGCGGATCGAGGTGGGGGTCCGATGGCCCCTCGCAAGCTGCCGCTCTGGGGGGCTCCGCCCAGGGCGCCTCCGACATCGGCGTTCCGCCGCTTCAGGATCGAAGGGTCGATGTCGAGCTTCTTCTCCTTTCGGAGCGTTCTCGCGCAGGAGGTCGGCGTGGCGGGCTCCGTGATCGACGGGCGCCCCGCGGCGGCCGACTGCCGCCTGGCGTCGGCGTGCGCCGCCCTGCCGACGGGTTCCACTCTGTCGCTTCACTTCTGCCGTTAGGTCGGCGAGTCCGTCGTGGGCGCCACCCCTGAGCTGGAGAGGGTCCGCCGCATGAGTGACCGAGGCCCCGCGACAGCGCTGCGCCCGTCGGCCCCGCTGGCCGAGGGGGGTGGCCCGCAGTGCGCCTATGTGGACAACCTGGGCGTGCCGGGCTTCGTCGCGGGCGAGGTCGCCTCCGCCTCGCGGGCGGCCGCCGGCAGGTTCGACGCCGCGGGCTTGCGCGCGCGCGAGACGGAGATCCAGGCGGGCCGCGGCGAGACGCTGGGGCGCGCGCTGGACGGCGGCGCCGTTGCCGCCAGGCTCACCGCCAAGCTGACGAGTGCGCCAGGGGCTCTCCTGGGCGTTGGGCTGCAGGGCGCTGCCAGGCTGGGTGTGGTAGATCAGCCTCGGCCACTGCGCCTACTGCACGATGTGCAACCGCGACCTCCTGCCAGTGTTCAACACGGTCTACGAGTTCATGGCCGCGAACTACAGGCAGGGGGGCGTGCTATGAGCTATGGCCATCCTCCAGAGCGGAGATGGTCGCCTTCCGTGGGCTGATGCCGATGGCGCGCGGCGACTGGGCGCTCCCTTGGCGCCCGCTGGTCTGCCTCTCCGACGCCTCGGAGCACGGCTGCGCGGTGAGCGCCTCGTTGTTCGAGCAGCTCGCTGTCAAGGACGTCGGCCGCGTGCAGGGGCCCTCCAGGTTTCGGCGCCTGGGCGGCCGCTCCGCCCGGGCTCACTTCTTCGCGATGAACGGATTCGTGATGACTAGTGAAGGGGAACTGAAAGACATGTCAGAGCTTGGGGGGCACGACGAGATTGCACCTCGGGCCGAGTTGGGAGTTGATGCGGCCTTCAAGGAGATGGCAGCGGAGATATTATCGGGGCACCGCTTGATTGAGTTGGTCGCCCGCGGGTGGCGCAACTTGACGGATATATATGTAAGTGCTCGCACGTGAATCATCTAGGCAAGCCCGACCGCCGTCAAGCGGTACAACGCTTCCATAGTCTTCTCTGGGCTCAAAGCGGGGCCCCAGATGGCATGGATTTCGGGCTGAACCTTTTCTACGAGGTTGTTCGATCTCTAGGAACCGCCGCCATAGTCTCGGCGGGCAGCTGCCCAGCGGTCCCCGCGTGCCCGGGGTGCCCGCCGTGCCCAGCGGTGCCCGCCTGCCCAGGCGCGCCGCCACTCCCCGAGCCGACGTGTGGGGTGAGCGACCCCGAGGTGCTGGCGGGCAACAGCCGCCTGTGGGCCTGGGCGGTGCTGCTGCTTGCGGCCAGTTCGACGTTCGTCGCCCTCGGCTACGCGCGCAATGGCGGCCGCAGCCCCGCTGGGGCCGCTGCCCCTGCCGGCGGGGCCTGGGCTGGGAGTGGCGGCACAGGCGGTCCGGGCGGCGGTGGCCTGGGCCTTCGTATGGTACGCGACGCCGGAGGTCCTGTGGCACCAGAGACTGCTGCTCGGCGTGTTGGCGTCATCGGCGACTAGGTTCCTCATTGTCACGCCAGATGGACAAGTGTATGATGAAGAGTACGGACCTGCCAACGTAGACGTGGTCGGGATCCGCTTCGCGACGGAGCGGTGGCCACCTCCACCCGGTGTGACTAGGGCGATGTGCTACAGGTTCGCCGCTGCTCCGACGGAGGCGCAGATCGCCCAGTGGACAGATGAGGCGACCGCCCACGCCGTGGCGTTGCGGACTACGGTGACGCCGCTCCCCGCGCTGGTGCACGGCAGCGCGACGCCGTTGGGAGCACCAGCCGCCGTGCCTGCCCCTGGGCCGCCCGCGCCCGGCGCCGCGGCCGCCGCGGGTGTCGCGCCCGCGCCCGCCCAGGGGGAGGCTGGCAGCTGGCTGGCAGTTGAGACTCGTGCTGGGCTTCGTCGTGGTGAGGCAGTGGCCCTCGTGCCGCAGGCCATCGTGCAGGGGGCGCGTGCTATGCAGGAGCAGGGGGTGCCGCCGCAGTGGGTGCTGCTCGCCTTCGTGCCACAGGGCGCCGAGATCGAGTTCGCCGGGGCGGAGGCGGTTGGCGATGCGCGGCTGATGACCGTGACTACCATTGGTGGGCAGAGAGTGAAGGCTGTGTTCCGAGCGGCAGTGGATGCCGTCCAGGAGGTGAATTTCACAGATTTCCCGGTGCCAGGCCCACGCACGACATTGTGGTGCCTGAAGTTCATCAATCGACGCAACGGAGGTGCTATTGACTGGCACCGCTTCTGGGAGCACACGCACGGCCTCAAGTCCGAGTTCTGGGGCGTTGGTGAGCACCTCATGATCATGCAAGCCGTGGACTTGGCCCTCACGTACGACGCCCTGGACATCGTCAACCTGGGGGCCTTCGAGCTGATGATCAGGAAGGCCCAACTCATCGAGTACAGTTACTCTGAGATGGGCGGTGGCGGGAGGTCCAGCGATGGCGGCGAGGCCGACGGTAAGGAGAGGAAGGACAAGAAGGGCAAGGGCCGTGGCGGCCTCGTGCGAGTGGGGCTCTACGACGAGGCCCAGATCTTCATGGGGGGCCACAAGGAGTTCGGGGACATCATGGTGGCCCCCGACCTGCTGGACTACGTGTCGAAGGAGGTGGAGCGCGACGCCAGCGTGCTCGAGCAGGTTCGCAAGGCCCGCGAGGAGCGGGCCGCGGCGAGCCGCTAGCCCTACGAGAAGGCCGCCCGATCAGGCCTCCTGCCTGATCGGGCTTTCGGCGGGGGGACCCTCGTTCCCTCGCCCCAGCGGGCGGCTGCCGCGTCCTCGGACATGGAGGCTACCCACAGTTTTGGACCGCCCGCTACTGACGGTCGACAGCGCGACCTGTTCCCGCTGCCCGACGTGTTCCAGGGGCCATCCAGTTTTTCGGCGTGGACACGACCGAGTCTGTCACGACGCTCACGCCAACGCCTCCATGCGCATCAGCACGAGTTGAAGTGGGCGAGTGACATGGTGGAGTCGCTCAACGAGATGAGTGCTGGGCCGCAGCATCGCGGCGCGCCGGGGGCGAAGGCCACCGAGGGCCAGCAGATGGTGCTCGATCGTCTTCTTTCATGTGCTCAGGAGGTGGGTCGCCCCCCTTCTGGGCTTTCAGGCCAGGAAGCCTTGCGAGAGCTTCTGGCCCGCCGGGGCTACGACGGCGAGCCCGCGACCCTGGCCAACCTTGATGTTGACTGTCTGGCACTTCCTGAGCGAGGTCACCGAGCGGTGCCTCTTTTGGAACTGGATGAGCCAGCTGGTGTGGAAGTCACAAGGATTCTACAGGAGAAGCTCTTGCCAAAAGAGGAGGCGGAGCAGCGTAAGTTGAGTTCGGGAGTGAAGAAGGTTTTCACGGATCATCGCCTTCGTAATCGCCGTGAGTATTTGAAATTGGTGAAGCGGCTTGAGGCGTGCGGTCTCATCGAGTACAGGACGCACCGCGAGGAGGATGTCGGTGTGTTCGCGGTCCACAAGAAGGATGGCAGACAGCGTATGATCATTGATGCTCGATGGGCCAACTCTCACTTTGCTGACCCACCCGACGTCAAGCTGGCCACGGGCCAAAGTTTCGCCATGCTCGAGGTTGATGCAGGCGAGCCCGTGTGGCTTGGCGGAGTGGACATCGTGAACTGCTTCTACACGCTGGAGCTCCCGTCCGAGTTCCGCGGGTACTTCGCCCTCCCTCGCCTTCGGGCCCGCGACGTTGGTGGAGATGGTGATGGAGTCGTCTTCCCGTGCCTGAAGGTGATCCCTATGGGCTGGAATCAGGCGCTGATGGCCTGTCAGATCCTCCACGAAGCCATGGTGGACAAGATCGAGGGGGTCTCGGCCGCCAACAGGATGTCCGAC